CTTAAAATGTAACTCATTATATACAAGGACCTACTGTCTGAAGAGAAATAAATTTAAAGAAGTTGGCAAAACCATAGCATTTATTATGAAGCATTAATTGATGATTTTAACATCCTTATGGAGATAAAGTTAATAGAAATAATGTAAAGACAATAATCTCCAACTTTGCATTATTTAGGTTATTTTTGGTTTGAGTTTCATGCTGATCTCACATATACTGGATACAGTCACCATAGTTGTTACATCATAGTTATTACATGAGGCTCTTAATACATAGGTATTTATTATACTTTAGTTGACAACCTTTGATTCTGGCATATGTAAATCTTGGAAAGCATAAGTACTACTATATTTCCATTTACCAATTTTTTCAACTTACATTTACTTTTTTATTATTTCTATATGGCTTTCCCTCTTAATTGTTTAGACAGATTAAATATATTTGAATAAAGAAACATAAATATTTGTATAAAGAAGTTTTTTTGTACAAAGTGGTTTGATTTAATCAGAAAAAGTAGACTCTTCTTCCTAAAATAAAGTATAACTTTGCATTATCTCTATCATACCAGATCAAAATATCAGGATTGACTATGTATTCTTATCATGTGTTTTAGGATTATTTCTACATTGAATGGCACTAAGCGAAAAATGGAAAAATATAACCAGGTATATGAATCTCTGTGGATTGTACATTTTTATCTTACCCATTTAATTTATATCTTTTAGACATACTTTTAGTTCAACATGAATATAGAGATAGTTATTCAGATAATTAAAGCTACAGTAGTTATTTTTCAAAAGCTGTGATTACAGTTAGTTCTTAAAGTACTTAATTAGAAGACTAGATCCATGATCTGTAAATGTTACTGATTTTAATAATTGGTTTTAAGACTCGAAATCACTGGGCAATTGTGAGTAAATTATAAAATGTTTTTTAGTATTTTAGAGTTTAACCTTAATTTGATAATTAAAAACTATTTGATAGTTTAACTTAATATCAAATTAATTTGATATTTTAAAACCATTTTAAAAAATTAAAAATGTTCAAAGAGTATAAGTTTTAGACAATCTCTGTAAAAATTATGCTTTTAATGCTGACCACTGAATTTCAGAAGTTACTGCCTTAAACTCATATATTAGGCTGAGAATGATGACCTGCATATGTTTCACCTACAAGATTTTCACATCATTACATTATATGACAGCAATACTGCTTTCCTATCAAGCCATGCTATAAAATTAACAAACTGCAACTCTTTGAAAATATAAGATTGGTATTATGACTCCATTATATTTCATCTTGATGTGTAAAAATAATTTTAGGAAAAAAACCTACTGGATCACCTCGAGGTCCTGGTGGCCCTAGGACTGTGCTGTCTTCTCCTGGATAACCCTAAAATGAAAATAATGATTTATTAATGAAACTAAATTAATAAAATAACCTATAAAAATACACAATTATTATTATCTAATATTTTATGAAATATACAA